GTCTGTGCGGCGTCGAGGAGAGTGTCCTCGCGGCACAGATTGCCCAGTCATCTGTGACGCTCCCCGTGGCCTCGGTACAGACTCGTGATGGGCTCTGCCGTAGCCTTCGATATGCATTAGGAAACGCCAGGACCTGCATTTCAATGGATGACAGGCTGGATGAACCAAAGCCCGAGCACGACCCCTCCCCCCCATTTCAGGATGGTTGGAAATACCCGTTTTGGTACGAGAGGGAAATGTGCAGACGATATATGCCAACACTGCTCAGACGCTCTGTTAACCTTTACCACCTTTAAAACTAAAAATATTCCCCCCGATCAGGAAGAGATTTGCGAGGCAGAGAACAGGGTTGTACTACATCAACAGAAATAACCTGTTTTGTGACATCAGACAAGAAGAAGCTTTCTTGATCCTTGGGTCGAGAGCTTGAGGTGGTCCTCTCTTTTTCACTTTTCTGTCAGAAAAAGCTCTTCTAAACATGTGAGAGGCCAAAAAATATATGCAAACAAAGAGCGAGGATTATAATGAATACATTTAAGCATAACTATTGATTGTGTTAAATGGATCCATTTGTTGTGGTTTGAGTGTTAGGTAACCCGGCTTTAAAGTTTGTATTTTGCTAACAAAATTAGGCTACAAAACAATGTGTTCTGCAGAGATGGTAACAATCACATACAGTCCATACAATGGTTGAGGAACAAAACACCATTCTGTCTTTATATAAGACAGAAAGTGCAAGAAGCAGCGATACCGCAGGGCCTTTATCCCTTTAGCCCATTCAGACTGTACAATAAGTCACTTTAAGTCACTTGCATTAGGACTGAAAAAACCTGCACTACTTATTGACACTGTTTCTTGATTGCCACTTTTGAATTGCCATTTATTATTGTACATAATATATCCTGCATTTAACATGTTTGCACATTTCTTTCTTTTGCACAATCTTGAGTGATTCCATCCATGCCAGATGTGACATGTACATTTCTCCTGTGTGAGATCAATAAAGTCCATCTTATCTTAAACTGAATTGTTTTATACAAAGACATAGACACTCAAGACTATGCCCATTTCGAACGCTAAAAACAATTTGTACATGACTTGCAAAAACATGCAACTGAATATGTTATCCGATCATCTTTCCAAGAACTCAATATTTAACCTTAAACATTTCGTTTCAAAAAAACGCCGGTAAGTGTGTGCATTTACTAAGACGGCATCTCAAATCTCCCTTTTGTTGTATGTACAGCTATACTTCCCAGCTGAACAAACACTGCTGCTAATCCTCGTCTATAGCAGATACAACGGAAATATTAAACAAATGTTCAAAAAACTTCTATGGCTTTTCATACATCCCTTTGTGAAATATTTGGATACAGAGACAGAACTTTTTGGGGAATTTGAGCAGAAAGCCCTAAATGTTGACACTAACCATGAGGCGTAATCCTTTTTAAATCTGGCTTTCCTCGCTTTAAAGACTATGATAACAGCGGGTAGCAGGTCTATTCCCACAGTAGGTATGCGCTATGGAACTCACCCCACCTTTGTTTGTTAGTGTTCCCTCTCTTTTCTTCTGCAGACTGGGCGGTCGGAAGTGTCTCGAGCTAAGACGTAAGAGAGAAAAAAAAAGAAAGCCCACAAGATACCTGCGTGACCTAGTTTGGGCAGACAGGAAGTTTTTATAGATCGGTTATATAATAATGGCACAAGGATGAGAACCGGGGCATGGATAACGCGAACAAGGAGAAGATAAACACTAGAACAGCTGAGTGGATTAACGGGCGACTCCGTTTGAGGATTTCGAAATAACTTTGCTGTGTTGTCAGTCATAAAAGTTGAAAGTGGACTGTGTTGTTGTGATTGGGAAGTGATGTGGCGAAGGTGTTTTTGGAAGCTTTTAAAATAAATCAATTGCAAAGATCGTCCTCCATTGTAGGAGAAGGCAATGCAAATTCAAAAATAACAACGATTACTTACTCAGAGGAGAGGCAGTTATTTTTATTTATGTAGCGCACAGTTAGACTACCTGATGCACTACAATGGGCTCATCTCATTGGCCAAATCCTTGTAGGGTAACTGATCAGTCATAAATCACTTGTTTGATGTAGTCACTTAAAAAAAAAAACACATGTTGCTTGATGCCAAGTTTTTTTCTATGAATTTTATGTGAAAATAAGATGCAAGACAGCTAAAAACAACAACAAAGACAAAGTTTTTTTGAAAAGTTGTTGCCTTTCGGGACCGCTCATGTAACTTTCAGTCTGCAACATTTGATTCAAAGTCACCATGGCAACAAAGTCAAAAACAAACATTAAACAAGAGAAAACTTTAGATTTTCTATATTGGGCATATGAGCTGGGACCCTATCAGATTGTCTGAAGGACCTGATTCAGTCCCGGGGTCATGAGTTAAAAAGTCCGGTTTTGCATTACATCTCAGGGCCAGAAAATTATGCATTCTTTAACATAAAAATGTGCACCCCATTTCAGTTCACAATACCGTGCAATATAGAGGGCGCCCAGGGACATTTGGGGACTTCAAAATCTAGAAGTTTCATTAAACCGCGTTATCATAGCTTTTTGACGAAAAGGTCTCGTTTTGATGAGAACTGCTTTTGTTGATAAGACATAAAAGGATGCCCACAAAGCTTAATTATGGATTTTAAATGAAAGCAGATTTTCATTAGAGGCACATTGTTATTGGTGGAAATTCTGAACACGAGCAAACATTGAGAAGTTACTACTATACAAAAAAGTGGCAGTGAATGAGTTAGCAAAACACTAACAAATATTAGCAGGTCATGGGTCATATGGATATGATTTGCGAGACCGTTTCCCTTTGATTACACAAACAGAGCGTCAGATTAGAACAAACACTGAAATAAAGTGTATATGCGTGCTGATTCAATGATTTGCTGGTTTCATCCTTGGTAGCGGCTCTGCTTGATTCCGAACAAATTGACTTCTTTTGTCAATAATTGCACGGCCCGACTGTTGCTCATTTCCCCCACCGGCCACACGAGTCAAGTCGGGAGAGAGGACCAAAGGGTGAAAAAAACAGATTTCATTTGAGCTGGGTCAATGAGCTTTTCAAAGAGCGTTGAGACTGTTTTGGGTGGAAACGATAATGTGATTATGCTTTCTCCTGACCGGGGACAGGAGGTAATTATCAGGTAGAGTTTGTGTAGCGGCTGCAGATGGAAACGGATCAGAAAGAGCCTGGATGTTAGGCCCTAAGGCACGACTTTAGGTGAGTGGCATGTGGATAGAATCATACTTATATTCCCCCGAACCTGCATTCCTTTATTGATGAATAGACAAATATGCATTCTCCGGACGTGGGAGTTATCAAATGAAAGCAGACACCACGACTTCTTCCATGTCAAAGCCTTCTTATAGCAGTTCAAAAGCACTATTCAGACCAGGCCAAATGCAAAAAAAAATTCAAATCCTCAACAAAAGATTCGGTCTCTTCTGTATAACTGCAAATTCCAAAAGCACAAAATTGCTTGAAAGTTAATAGGATATCTCGCTAAGGAACAATCCATCACAAACGGCAGCACAGCCTGGTTTAGAATAAAACAAGGAGAGTGGAATCTATCATAGAACAAAAAGAGCGAGAGCACAACAAAAGTCCAAATTAAAAAGGAAGCCCTTAAAATAATGCGCTTCAATGTCTATCTGTAATCAATGCTCGGCACGCCAGCTTGTGATTTTGGGTTGCTTTGTATCTTGGGGACAATGGCACTGAAGAGAAAGGGGGGAAATTAAATCATAATTAAGTAGACTTAGTGGCATCACTGGTTTTGATTGGCACGTAACAGACAAGAGTGTTTAGTGACAATACTCGTAATTACAGCGGCATGTACTAATCAAAAAGGAGGAAGAAGCGGAAAAGGAGGTTGTCATGGCGCACAATTATAAGCCACGACACACGCCGGCAGCTCCGCACATCTGGTACAGAGCTCATCCACACTCTGGTTCTCATGTCCCAGGTATATAAGCAGTGGATGAAGCTGAATGATTGATTAAGAAAAACTTCTGCAATATGGTGAACAATTTGTATGCATACAATTAAATCCAATTTCATTTGAAGAACTTAAACAACTTGGGTGAAAGTAAATGATCAGTATTTTGAAAAGGTACATTTTCAATATTGATCTACAATGATGTACCAGTGACAATGAAAACAGAACCATCAGAGCCATGGCATCTCAAATACAACAACATCAATTATTCAAACATGCATAAGTCAATGAAAACATAATTGAGTGGTCAAATGAGAGGAGAGAATAGAAAACAAATTCTTCTGTTGTCATTTATCGGACACCCAGACTCCCTCATTCTGACTCGCACAGTTCCTCCAGCTCATCCAGGGCCAGATGAGAGATAGTCCCTCCATTGTGCCCTGTGTCTTCTCCTGGGCCTCAAAGCCTCCCAGGAAGCCATACAGGAAGCAATTGAGATGCCGCTCAACATGAAGGAACAGCAACTCTATTTCGAGCTCCTGGCAACAGAGCACCTCAGTGAGCACTCTGCACTCTGCAGTGGAAACTCATTTTGACGCTTGTATCTGCGATGTTTGTACTTTTGTCATTACCCAAAGCTCATGACCACAGCCAAGAGTGGGTAAAAAACGCTAAAACTTCTCATGTTTTTAAAGTGCACCTAATCAAATTCTAATGAAGTACAAAATCCATTATTCAAATCGCAAAAACGAGTACTCTCGAAGGTCATACACTATGGTTGCGATTAAAAATTACTATGAAACCTTGAAACCTTCGTCCATAACTGCACTTCATCATTTTTATGTAAACGCTAATACATTCAACCTATTCATACCGTATAATCACTGCATTCCCCTTTCGTTGCATATTTATCAAATTATTAGAGGCATGTTATAGGAGCAGAAAATCACTGCACTCTTGATTACAGAAATATTGTTGCTTAATATCACATTAACTGGACAAAAACACACGAGCAATCCAAGCTGCGTAAGTTTACCTTGTGAAGAGTGGAAGCAGAGGAGGAGTAGCAGGAGCCAGGCAGGCAGCGGACACCTCCACAGAGCAGAGGCCATCGTGAGTCGTATGCTAATGAGGGCTAAAGGAAAGTGAGGGTGAGGGCGAGGCGGAGGGAAGAGCGGGAAATGTCAGCGATCAGTGGTCCTCCAGTTTGCATCACCGCTCATCTTCTCATCTGCAAAAAGGAAAGAAAAGCTCCATTTTAAAAATAATAGATTAACAATTAGATTTACAGATAGCCGTGAGAATGAGAGGTTTGTTGTAGGTCAGATGGTCATGGGTTCGGGCCTTTCCATGTGGAGTTTCCATTTTCAAACTCCACATGAAAGGCCAGCCCCTCCTTATCACACAAAATTCTGGAATTGGGTCTCCAGTTTCAGCACGGCAATTGACTGCTGCTCCTGACAAGGTCCTCCAGTGGGGTTGGTGAACCATGGTGTACCATGAGCTTAATCTGCTGTCTGACTGTACAACGGACATTGATAACCGTGCACATGTAATATTTGCTATACTTCACCACCACACAAGCAGTTACAGACAGATCATAGAAATGCTTTGATCAAGTTTGCAGTGCATCAATGATTTTAAAACCTCTGGAGCTATAGTTTGAACAACAGACTTTTACAAAAATCAATATTTTTCTGGAGGAGGTGTAACTGTAGATTACGCTAAAAAGACAAATGATGCAACATGGCCACGAGCTGTAAATATAGAGTTATAAAAAAAATATTCATAACATATCCTTTAAACTCTCGCTACTTTCACAATTTAACACAGTGGGCCCATTGGGACAAAGACACGGTCGCTCCGGTAACATACTAAGACGCCATTAGAGACACAGCTGCTTTGTGAGCTACTTTTGTCTTCCCAGCCTCAAACCAAGAGCACAAAAAGTACGCCTCTTTGTCTGGGGAAAAAAGGCAAAAAGGTTAAAGCCTTGAGACGCCGCACTTGGCAGACGGATAAGCAGCTTACGGAAATCAAACGCAGGATGGATACGTGTAGTTGTATGTGGATGCTAATGCCAGATGCTGATGCCGTGTGCAACAAGGGCTAATGAAGAGGTTCAGACTGGAATGGCACAGCTTGAAGTAGATATAAAACGGGGGGGAAAAAACACACGCTGGTGACAAATGATTGACAGTAAATCATCAAGTGAAGAGCTATTAAAAGAGGACAATGACAACGATGCCACAAGGCTGTCATATTAGTAGGTTAAGTGTGGTTTCCGTTCTGATTTGTGGCCTGAATTATTCATGAGATGGAATGATGCGTCTATTTTTCTTAGTTTATTGAAGTGACGCACATTTTAGTCCAATTGTTGTTGATTCATGAATAACAAGCTGTCAAGTGTCAACTATGACACAGGAATCAAAATAAGTATTGATACCGGCATTTTAAGATTTTAAGTTGCGTAAACACCAATTGGACTGATCCATCTGTATATAGGAGATATGGGAAAGATATTTAATCCCATCTACAAAACTTTTAATACATCTTTTCAAAGAGGATTATGTAACAATATTTAACATCTATAAATGCCACACACAAAAAATAAAATAATACATTCTTTACATTTCAATCAATTCATGAATCACTGCTTCAGGGTCATCACAGTCATTTTATGGTTTTAGGACTAATAATCCCAGTGAAATCCCAGCGAAATCCCAGTTTGTACATTCACACTGAGGTAAAACACTGAAACATGTGCAATGTCCCTGTGCTTCAATAGGACTAGGTGTCACTCAAACTGTGTTATAACAGGTTTTAAATCACAAAACTTAACAATCAGAAGTGTGACACACAGTGAGACAGCTGAGTGGAGTCAGTGCAGACACTGCTGCATGCTGGAGAAAAGGTTTCATTGTATATAAAAGATGGCCTTTTATATACATGTGTGAAGATAAGACACGCTGCACCTGTTGCTTTTTTGTCTTGCTATTTTTTCAGTGAGCTTATCTGGTTACAGTCACATTGATGTCTTTCAAATAAAATCATTGACATTGACAACATTCATTGTAAATATGTATAATATATATGTATTTATTCATGCAAGTTACAATATGTGGCAAAATATTTGCAGTCATGCATCATAATGATTTTCTTAAAAAAAAAAAAGTAACTTCAGGGACAAATATGACCTAATTTTGTTGCATCTTAAATTGCTTCTCTTCATTTCAATGGAAACATTTCCGGGAAACTCTCGTGCTTGCGTCCAGCCCCTTCTATTAATCCATCTAAAGTGACCCACCGCTTTAGCGCGAATCACCAGACAGAGGAGGCACTGTACCGAGCTGACCTTTGCAGAACTTGACGGCAAAGCAACCTGTCAGTGTAAACAGACAGCGGCAGCTACCACACACGCTGCTGACGCCCAAACGCAGCAGAAGCAACTCAATTTATGTGCCCACACGCTTCTGTTTATTCCCCTGTGATCCTCAAGTCCCCACTGCACACACAAACACACCCACACACACACTATGCATGTCCGCTGCCGTCCGCTACGCACAAGGAGTGGATGCATCTTCCTCTGCATAGCTTCGCCCGTCAAACACCATGATTATTTTATAACAAACCTAAATTTGAGCTCTCCAGGCCGGGCTAATGCACTGCTGCTGCGGCTGGGATATTTTGGGATAGCAGGAATACCAGAAGAACATTAGCATATGGGCTAATAATTACAAGCCCAGTCTGCATGGGAACGAGCTCGTTTGCAACAGTCCCGATATATCCGTCACTTTCTCACACATTCTAAACACCCGAATTATTCACCATGACTTTTTAAGTGGGGACGTACCGATACAACATAGATTTTTTGTGCTGATCTAGTGAAATTTGTTGGTTCAAGTAATAGTTCTATAATATAGGTTAAGCTTACCCCCTGATTAAGACTTTCAATGTATGTATATGTAAGACCATTTACTGGCTCTGTTAACTCAGAATATCAATTCACTTTCAGCAAGTTACTTATGAGGGGAAAACATGTTATTTTCAGTAGTCTCTTCACTGGTTCACATTTGGTATCAGGAGATATTAAAGGCAAAAGTATTGAAAATTGATAATTTTTCAGAGCCAGGGAGATCTTTGCCAACAGAATGAGCTAACATCATCCAAGACATGAGCTGCACACTTACTGTTCCTCAGGGCAAAAATGATATTGAACACACCACATTCTGCTGTCTGTACCGGGGAAGTGCATACCATAAGTTGCTACGTTTTTCTTTGAACTCGCCCTATATAGCGAGGCAGCCAATGTATGCATTTTTTATTATGTTGTGAAAATAATTGGACATGGCTCTATCAACTGTTGATCTCCAGAGCTGAGGACGTAGCACACATTCCCGCTCCCTTATGACAAAGTTATTTTTATGAGATTTTAATGTCAGAGTAGAGTTTTTGGCTTCATTATATGGACTCCATCAAGTGTTAGTAGGGTTGGGACACTCGTTCATTGTCAAAATAGTATTTACTGCAGCGCTTTGATCATGAGTCAACACTGGATTAAAGCGCCCTGTCATTAAATCGTGTTGTGACCAATTAAAACAGTCTGCTTTATTTTGCTCCATCGGCTGTTGGTTAATTGTTACATTACGACATAAAAACCTTCAACCTGTATTCAAGTGCAGCCTCTAGAAAAAGTTTACTCTCGCTTAACGTCTTGCTGTTGTGGTTTATATACAGATACGCTTAATTGTCCAGCATTTTTCCTCAAATATTCACAAGAGAGGTTTTAAAAAGGAGCCGTTAGAAACCATGTATTTCCAAAAAGCATCGTGCCTTGAGTGTTAGCCGACCAATACGAGACCAATGGACCTCCACCGATCTTGGCGCAGAGTGGAGAGTATTTATTTTCATTTGAGGTCACCGCGGCCGAGTGCAGAGCAGCGTTTGCCAAGGAAATACATGTAAGGCAAGTTTATAATGTATTTGTAAAAAAGTTGGGGGGCTTTACGGGAATTATGCTTGTATTATTTGTCTTTCCGTTGTTTATGTGCCAGTGGCGCCGGACCAGATCAGATAAGGGTGGAATTGAAGGTGCTTGCTTGGCGCGAGATCTCTTTGTGTCCTCGGTGACTGTTATGCTCATTACTGCAGTTTTTTGGGGAAATGTGAAACACTCAGGTCTCACCTCATTGGGCAAACTGATGCACGCACGAGTAAAACGCAAGCTTTGTCGGTGCTCGCTTTCCTTGGTGCTCTTAAAATAGACAGCTCTAGTTAGTGACGGCGTTTGGCTGTGCACCGGAAAGTACATTCATATAGGGTTGGGTACATGCATGCAGCAAAACCTACAGTTTCCCAGCTACAGCTGTGGGATTTTTTTTTTTATTTTTTTTTTTACATGAGATATTCCGTTTATCTTCATAACTTCTATACATACCCAGTTTATCCGAGGTATGCATTTACACCTATAGCATTGAGTGAAAGCGGGGAATGCCATATCGGCGCAAGCCCATGTATCACAGTTGACAAAGTAGCAGAATTTATACATGAGCTTCTGAAATCACCTTCTATACTGTGACCTGGTTTCCCGCCAACATTTCCCTTAATTCTTGTTTCCATAGGTTTAATGTATTCATTTCTGTTATTCAGTAGTGCCAGGGCTCCACTTAATATCTGTTTCACATCAAATGTTTGAAAAAAAACCCCCATTGACTATTTGACTTTGGCTAGGTTTCGGTAAATGAACCGTTTAATCAGAAAATGATTAAATGAAGGGTTCGAATGACAGTGTGTATTATTTCAGCGGTGTCTAATGATTCCAATTCTACAACAGGCTGTATAACAATCTGGCTCATGACAAGTCATGTTTGGAAGTATCATCAAAGCCGGCAGCGAACTGTTACCGCACCGGAACTTCTGCACAACTTTTATATGAACATCTGAGCCACTGAAGCAAAGGGGAACTGAAAAGAGCATAATGGAAGCGCTTCAAACTCAATTAAAACAATGCGGAGGCCCAAGTTCAATATTGGGCTGATCTCTCCGGAGACGCGCGCAGGCAGCGGCGGCGGGCGGCTTTAGCTCCCCGCGCGCCCTGTCATTTATCATGGGTGAATATGAGGCGGCCCGGGGCACGTGGGGACCATAATGACGCCTGACAGGAGGAGATTGCACGCTGTCGGGGGGTGATGGGGGAGCGACTTTGCCCCTGTGGCCTGCTGAGCCCAAAGC